CACATGAACTAAAAGCCACAAACTGTGAATTAAATTTAACTGGATCTTCCAATATTTCATATACAGTGGGTACGGAAAGTATTCAGACCCCCTTAAATTTTTCACTCTTTGTTATATTGCAGCCATTTGCTAAAATCATTTAAGTTAATTTTTTTTCCTCATTAATGTACACACAGCACCCCATATTGACAGAAAAACACAGAATTGTTGACATTTATGCAGATTTATTAAAAAAGAAAATCTGAAATATCACATGGTCCTAAGTATTCAGACCCTTTGCTCAGTATTTAGTAGAAGCAACCTTTTGATCTAATACAGCCATGAGTCTTTTGGGGAAAGATGCAACAAGTTTTTCACACCTGAATTTGGGGATCCTCTGCCATTCCTCCAAGTTGCAGATCCTCTCCAGTTCTGTCAGGTTGGATGGTAAACGTTGGTGGACAGCCATTTTTAGGTCTCTCCAGAGATGCTCAATTGGGTTTAAGTCAGGGCTCTGGCTGGGCCATTCAAGAACAGTCACAGAGTTGTTGTGAAGCCACTCCTTCATTATTTTAGCTGTGTGCTTAGGGTCATTGTCTTGTTGGAAGGTAAACCTTCAGCCCAGTACAAAAGTCACAAAAGACTGAAAAAGTCCGATTTTGTTTACCTTTATTTCCAGGATGTTCTCTATCCTTTCCCCTCACACTCTCAGGCCATGTACACACTGCAGCTAAATTTGGTAAATTCACCTTTTAGTGCTTAATCTTGTTCATACGGAGTTCAGTCATTTACGGGAGCGACAACAGCATTCTAACAACTGAACTGACTCCAGAAAAATTCTGGTAGTGACAACCACATTTACAAATTTCTATGCATTGTGTACAGAACAGAATTAAACGCCTAGTTAAAGGTGCAGTAGGAGATCTTGGAAAATGCTAACTTTAGCCTGATAGCACTGAAAGCGAACGTCCCACCCTCCCTGCAATCGCCGTCCAAAGCCACGCCCCCTGAACGCATATACGCTCACAGACCAGAAGACCAGAAGACCAGAGACAACATTACTACAATAGGCTACATCAGCGGTTCCCAATTCCAGCCCATGTTCCGAAGTGAAGTAAACTTCAACGGACTTCCCCCGCTCAGTGAGTAGGGAGCAATGAACACTGTGTAGGGATCATATCGATCGGAACACAGTTCATGCATGTAGCTCACTTCTAACGAGCTGGTTATCTGAATCAGGTGTGTTAACTAAGCGAGACATGCAAAATATGCAGAGCGGGGACTGGATTAACTGCTAGGCTACATCATGTGTCATTCACCGGTGAGAGAACTTTAAAAGTACTACAATACCAGGAAGGAAGATCAGGTTGTTGATGTTTGTCTGCCATTCTCTCTCGCTCTGCACAGTGTGCGTGAATGTGCGACATTTTACTTTTGGTACCAAGTATGAAGTTGCTTTCGGTACAAACAAAAGTATTTAAAAAAATGAATAAATAAAAATTGTACACATGCATACCGTCTACTTTAAGAGAAATATATATATTTTTTTAAGAACCAATGCATTTTAAATGCACTGAACAATATATTAAAATGTATACTGAATAGGGTTGCAAAAAGGTGGAAAATATCCAGTAAATTTCGGAAACATTCCAGAATTTTTTTTTCCTTTTTTTAATATTCCAGGGATTTTTGGAAAATCTCCAGGAATTTTCCACCCCTTTGCAACCCTAATACTGAATGAAACGGATTCATTCTGAATTTGCAAAACACTTCTGAATCAAAACAATTTGATGTCGACCTAAAGATTCACAGCTTATTTTCTACGGTATATGAAGGGGGGAAAAATCCTATCATGCGATGAGATGATCTAAAGCTTACTAGAGTTTGAAAGGAAAGCTCAGGGCAAGTGCTTTCATTCTATCACCTCACTCCTGCAGTCATTTTTCTGGCATCCCTCCACAACTGAATTATCTATAATTAATTAAGTCTGGGAGGTGACTTAGAGGTCTTTATCACTCAAGGATATACGTATGTTATCAGAAATGTTTGCTCCCTGCATGCATACAGAGAGGATAACTCAGATATGTGACCCTGGAGCACAGAAGCAGTGTTAAGTCGCTGGGGGATATTTGTAGCAATAGCCAACAATACATTGTATGGGTCAAAATAAGTCTGGGAGGTGACTTAGAGGTCTTTATCACTCAAGGATATACGTATGTTATCAGAAATGTTTGCTCCCTGCATGCATACAGAGAAGATAACTCAGATATGTGACCCTGGAGCACAAAAGCAGTGTTGAGTCGCTGGGGGATATTTATAGCAATAGCCAACAATACAGAGTATGGGTCAAAATTATAGATTTTTCTTTTATGCCAAAAATCATTAGGATATTAAGTACAGATCATGTTCCATGAAGATATTTTGTAAATGTCCTACCGTAAATATATCAAAACTTAATGTTTGATTAGTAATATGCATTGCTAAGAACTTCATTTGGACAACTTTAAAGATGATTTTCTCAATATTTAGATTTTTTTGCACCCTCAGATTCCAGATTTTCATAGTAACAAATAGTTGTATCTCGGCCAAATATTGTCCGATCCTAACAAACCATACATCAATGGAAAGCTTATTTATTCAGCTTTCAGATGATGCATAAATCTCAATTTGTAAAAATTGACATATGGCTGGTTTTGTGCTCCATATATACAACACACAGGAAAAGCCAGAGTCACACTTGTTTCCAAGAGCCAAGAAAATGTCCTTGATGTTTTGCAGTCAACATGAGATTGTTAAATGCAACAGTCATTTGAAGACATCTGGGATGCCATGACCTGTAATCAGCTCAGTAACCTCTCATGAGACCTTTAACTGACCAAACAGATTTTAACTAACAGCCTCAGCCGTTGCTAGGTAAATCAATCACCCATAACGCTTGCAGATGGCTGTTCCCTCTTATTAAAACACACGCCCATGTACACAAACACATAATAAATGTGGTGATTGATTTATAATGATAATCAAATCTGTTAAAGAAAAGAAACATCAGAATGTAATGCTAATTCGGGGTTTCGCTTACTCTGTTTACAGCATACAAATGGATGGGTACCTAGATTTATTAAGCATGGATATTAACGCTGATGCTTTTTAACATGCAGCTTGCTTGAACACAAAATACATCTGTGGTGTCAGTCAGCAGATGGGCTGCAAAAGCACAAAGGCACATGACGGCAAGACAGCACTTAAGAAGCGCTGATAGATCTGATAGTCTCTGCTCAAATCCATTCAGTCGATCTGAGATGCAGATTTATGCGCATACACATCTTCTACTACAGTTAGTGGGAAGAGAAATCGTCAGGATAATACTTCTCAATGTTTAGATCACATTCAAAGCACTAAATGTTGCTTATGAAGACATACTGGTCAACAAACGTAGTAATATAATGAATAAAACAAACAAAAATGTATATTTATCCACACACATTTACTTTTCATAGAGGAGATATTCCATTATACACTGAGCTAATGATTTTCTGAACCAGTCATGTTTTCCTTCATACATGCCACTGAATTGCTCAACTTTAACATGAACATCTGATTTAATTTGTTCTTTCAGACATTCCTAATGTTCTATTCGCGATGGATTGATTATCCAGACTGATTTTAAATGATTTGTTTTCAGGGGTTGCATAAGGATACAGCAACTGTGCACTGTAAAAAATGACCGTGAATTTAACGGTAAAAGACTGTAAAAATGCTACAGTAAAAACCTGTTAAATGGTTAACGGTAAATTCCCCTACTATATACGGTGAAAAACTGTATTGGACATTACATGTATTGGACATTAATTTTACGGTAGTATACCGTTTTTGGAAGTGAAAAAGACCGTATAATTTACAGTGAATAACCGTAAACTGACATTCCCAGAATTCCCTGCGTTACATTTCAAATTTGATGTTTTTTTGTTGAAATAACGATGTGTCGTCTTAGTTTTTTCTTATCAGTTTTGTACATTAGGGTTGTGTGTTACACCTAATGTTGTTAAATGAATGTTTATTGCATTATTTCAGTTTCATGTGTGTTACCGTGATGGTGTTTAGTGTTTGTGTGAATGACGCTGTGCAACTTCTATATATGTTATTATTTAAAAGCTGCTTGTGATGAGCTTTGGTTCATCGTGTGACTTTCTCATCACCTCCTGCATTTGGTGGTTATCAGTGTATTACAAAGATACAAAACAGATTTCAGTACTTCAATAATTCGGTATATTAACATTATATCAGTTAATGAAATTACGGTATTTAACTGTACATTTAAGTTAAAACCGTAAAAGCTAAAACGTTGCTACCGTATTTTTTACGGTAATAATCTGGCAACTACAGCTGCCGTTTTTTTACCGTAAATTTTACGGGATTTTTTTTTTTTTACAGTGTGGATCCAAACAAACCAATGTAATCGGGACCGAGCTAATCTTTCATTTACTTTATAAAATAAAAGAGTATGGCGATCTCTAGCAATGAATGAGCTGGGCTTTTCAATTTCTGAAAAGACACTGGTTTGGAAGCGAGGCATTTGGCACCGGTCTATTCTGTGTAAATGACTCGTTATAAAATAGGTACCCGTCCAGTGACTGCAATGAACAGTTTATCAAAATAATCATCACCATCTTGTTTTCCCATTTTAAAAAGTGCATGTCAAAGCCACACTAAATGAACAACAACTTCTCCAATCCCAGCCGAAGAGTAACGGGAACTGAAAGTTCCACAGCACCACCAAGTGGATTTCTGTAATGTTTCTCTGAGGAAAAAGGGAAAAGTTGCAAACAATAAAACTGGAATAAACTGAACTAAAATAGACGAAAATTGCATTTGGGGCAAATTAACTGCAATGAACGTAACTGGAGTAAACGCTTCTGATTGTCGCATCTCCAAATGAGTTGCTGGATATACTGAATCAACTGTTTTTCAGTTTTTCAACATCTCACCATCACAATCACTAAATATAAACTTCCTGAACTTACCTCTTCCACTGTTAGTGGCATGCATATCCGGTATTCCTTCAACAACATCGTCCTCTCCTTATGATTCCCGCGCTAGATCGAGTGCCAGTGATCAGCTAAACCAAGTCAGCCATCTGGTGATGGATGCAATCACGAGCTGTCATATATAAAGATGGGAAATATCAGTGCACTTCTGTAGGAACGCTCGTGCTGTTGTGTTTGCAGCGCACGCTTGCCCGCGCAGCTTGATGTTGCAATGTTGCACTCTTGGAATCTCCCGAGGCTCGTGCGCTTTTACGCACAGGGAAACGCGCCCGGAATCCAGTGGAGAAGACGACTGTCGCAGCGTCTCGGTGTTTAAGGGGTTTTAAACTTTAAAACGAAGCGGGTCTGTGCTCTCGTCTTCTTTCTAATGTAGCCCTGCACCCCGTGCACCTGTCCCGTCCCGCTCCGCATAGATGATGCAGCGATGGCTCGTGTCAATCTCTGCGTAAACTCGCTGCACCTGGAGTTAGTGGCATTGTTTTCCTCCTCTGGTGAAACGAGAGATGCTGTCGTTTCCTCCGCTGCGCTAACGCGGGATGGTAAGTTTGCCAGGAGAAAGACACACTGTGGCGGTGTGGCGCAACGCATCACAATGTGTTCATCGGCCAATACCGCCTTCAAGCGACAGGTGGCGCTACTGACTGTGAAATCACACAACAGCCGCGGCGATAAACCATGCGAAAACCAGTTGGTTGCAACAGAACTGGATCACTTGTATGCTCTTGTAACATATAATACACTACAACATGTAAGATACTGTGACAGATATTAAATAAATGAATATTCAGTAAATATGAAAATATTGAAATATATTATAATGTATTATAATTATAATGTAATGTATTATCAGAATCAGAATCAGAAAGAGCTTTATTGCCAAGTATGTTTGCACATACAAGGAATTAGTTCTAGTGTCACAAGCTTCCAGTTCACGGAGACAACAGCAACACACTGATAATAAAAGTGAGATGTGAATAAAATACACATGCATAAATATAAACCACAAAAAAAGAATAAATTGTATGTACAGGTGTGCTATAGATGGAATAGGAATAGAATAAAATAAAATAAGTTGTAGGGATGTACTAGGGTTTAGGCTGATAAATAAGTATAAGGTTATTGCACATACTGTACTTTAATTGCAGTGGGAGAACATTAACTGTTCATGAGGTAGATTGCCTGGGGAAAGAAACTGTTCTTGTGCCTGGCTGTCCTGGTATTCGGTGCTCTGTAACGCCGACTAGATGGCTAAAGTTCAAAAATCGATCTATTATAATATATTATTATTATTATTATTATTATTATTATTATTATTATTATTATTATTATTATATCTGATAGAATAGAGTTGGGGTACTTTTTTTTCAAAAAGGATGCATTGATCAAAGAACTTTCTATTCATAAAAGAATCCTGGAAAAAGTATCACAAAAGTTTCCACAAAAATATTAAACAACAAAACTGGTTTGAACATTGATACTAATAATAAATGTTTCTCGAGCAGCAGATCATCATATTATACTGATTTCTGAAGATCATGTGACACTGAAGACTGGAGGAATGATGCTGAAAATACAGCTGCGCATCACAGAAATACATTATATATTAAAATATAAAATCTATCTATCTATCGATCTATCGGTCGGTCTGTCTGTCTGTCTGTCTGTCTGTCTGTGTGTCTGTCTGTGTCTGACTGTCTGTCTGTGTGTCTGTGTTTCTGTCTTTCTGTCTGTCTGTCTGTCTGTCTGTCTGTCT